GCTGCTGGCCGCCGCCGCCCTCGTCGAGCAGTCCCCGCTCGGGCTTTTTCTCTCGGGCCCGGGGGGGGTGCGCTTGGGCGTGGGCGGGTGAGGGTGAGTGAGGGCACTGCAGAAAGAGCGGGCGCGATCGGGAAGAGAGGGCGGCGGCTCTGCCTCCGGTCTGGCGCAGGGCCCCGCACAGCGCCCCGTGGCTGCCGCTTGTCCCGCCCCCGTCGCTGCTCCGCAACCTTGGCGGAGACGCGGCCTGCGGGACCGCCACGCCCGCCTCCTTAGCGCTCTGCCGCAGCACCATCCGAAGCGTCGCGTCCTACCAGAACAGATGCGATCGATACATGCCGGTTTACAAACACCGTGGTTAGCACACCCACGCGTCGCTCCGCCTCGTCGTCTCGGAGGGGCTTCTCCTCGGTGAGCACCCGCGCCGCTCCATGCGTGCAAGTCGTGGCCGTGCTCGGCGCTCGCATGCCGGTGGGCCCCTGCGCCAGTCGCCTCGGCGCGGCAGGCGGCGCGGAAAGCAGCTCCCGGAAGCGATCGCTACGGCGCCGATCTTTCGTGACGTTGACGTCGAGCAATGCTCCGCACTTGGCGCAATCCGCGACAGCCTATCGTATACGGCGCGAGTCAGAGCTGCGTAGTGCAGGGACACGGTGCGGTCGGGTGGGGGGTGGGCGAGTGGGTGTGTGGGTGGGGAGGAGGGAGGGGTGGGCGGGGGTGGGCGGGTGGGGAGGTGGCTGGGCGGGGGGCGGGGTTGGGGGGGTGGGGAGACCGTGTTCCCGACGTAGGAAGCAGGCAGCGCGAGCGCGAGCATGGTGTTGCACTGCGCGCATCGGAAGACAAACTTGCACCCCGGCGAAACTGCTGGCATTTGTCTGTGAGCCCGTGGTGGTCGGAGCCGGGACGCTGCCGCCCACGCAATCGAGGCGCCGACGACGGGCTGCGGCTCCTCCGCCGCCGCTGGCGCTGGCGCTGCCGCCCCGACACCCGAGCATTCCGTCGGCGGCAGCGGGCACGAAGCGCCGAGATCATCGAGCTGGGTCGCTCGAGCGAGGGCCGAGAGGGCCTCCCCGAGCGGCTGCAGCCGCCGCTCGAGCTGCGCCTCCCGCGCGCCCGGCCCGGCGAGGTCGCGCGGCATCTCCTACGAGGCGCCCAGGAATACTGTCTAGGAGGCGTCCGCGAACGATCTGGAGCGGTGGAGTCGTGCAGCATCGCCTCCCCGCTGCGCGCGAGGGCGCCGCACCGCCGCTCCTCCGCGACGGCCACCCTGTCGAGCACGGCCAGCTCCGACGAGGCGCCGCGCTCGTCCGCCGCAGGCGCACGTTCGCCGCCGAGGCGCGAAGCGGGTGCGGCGTGCCCGTCCGGGCATCCGCCCTCCGCTTGCTGATCGGGCCGGTGCACCCCCTTATGCCTGCGGCCTCGCGCGCCCCCGCTGTTGCGCGACATGTTGTGCCGCCCCTCCGAGATGAGTTCCTCGACCTTGGCCTCGACCTCAGCGCGCGAGATGACGATCCCGGGAGGCACAAACGGCCGCAGCAGCCCGATCTGGACCCACTCGCCCGTGCCGTCCTCCTCTGGGAGAGGCACGACAGCGTGCGCCGCGAGCCGTGGCGACGCCCGGGTGTAGAGCGCCTTGCGGGAGTGGACGAAGACGCGGCACTCGAGCGTGCCGAGGTGCTCGCGCTGGACGGGACCCAAGCGGACGTAGATCTCCCACGCCTCCCAAAAGACGAGGAGCTCGCCGTACAGCTCGCGGCTGACCAAGGCAGCCGCCTCGTTGAAGGAGCTGTACGTTCTGCACAGGTGCTCGCGAGGTGCCTTGATCACCTCGGCGGGCCCGAGCCGGAACCACTCGTAGAGATGTACGCGCACGATCGCCGCGTCTCGGGTGTTCCGCGTGCGCGCGAGGTGCAGGTAGAGCGGTGCATTTTCAAAACTGACCATGCTACTTCCTGCGCATGGAAAAAGAATTTTCACTGGGGTAAAGAGAGAGACATGCAACACTAAACTCGTACTCGGGGGGAAGGAGGAGAGGGGGGGGGAGTGCCCCGTGTGATGAAACGTCACATTGGCCTCTCCCACCCGCGCGGGCGCCGCGGGCCGCCCGGCGCGCTGCGGCCCTATCCGACGCGCACCGGTTCTGGCCTGCTAAACGCCGTCCGGGCGGCTGTCCTTCCCGTCGTATACCTCCGCCCAGAGGTAGCTTGCGAAAATCTCGGAGACGCCTTCGCGGTTGTAAGCCGCAAGGCAGGCGTTGTTGGAGATCAAGCAGCCGAACTGCGCGCAGAGGAGTGGGATGTGGGTTAAAAGGGAGGTGTTTGTGCAGTGTCGCATTTCGCGGTTGGATCTGCGAACCTCATACGGCACGCAGACAAGAAGGCGGGAGACCTCCGCGCCCGCGCTGTTCTTAAAGACCACCTCGTACGCCTTGTTGCTGTTTTTGGTGAGGTTGTAGGACTTGCGCACGTAGGCGGCCTCGTAGGTCTTCGACGCGTTGAAGGTGTAGACGGCGCCCGTGAGGAGCTTCTGGAGGGGCTCCATCGCCAGGGCGGCCACGACGCTGCCGCCGGCCTTCCCAATCTGCCGGGCCACCGCACGAAACGCGGGCATGTAGTTGGAGTTCTCAACGTGGTCGACGAACTGGTGCATCTGGCCGTACCGAGGCACGGGCAGGTGAGCAGCGCGGGGCGGGGTGTGTTGCATGGAGAGGGGGGAGGGCGGGCGGGGGAGGGGGTGCACCGTGCTCTCAACGTGCCCCGCCATCCCGTCGACGGCGGACTGGTACAGGTCGGTTTTGTTGTAGCAGCTAGTGACGAAGAGGGCGAAGGGCTCGATGATGTTGTTTTGGCGGACGCTTGTGCAGAAATGCGGGCATTTGCCGCCGGCCATCAGGGAGCTGCACAGCCAGAGCTGTGCAGCCCTGGCAGGCGCCCGTGCGACGTCCCCGACGACCGCCGGCACAATGCTGATGCAGGGCGGGTCGCTCATGTCGCGGGACACGAAGCCGGCGGCGCCGGCAAGCACGCCCTGCGCTTCGGGGAGCACAACGGCAGGCGGGGGTGGTGCAGGCCCTGGCTGCCACATTGTTCCGCGAGCTCGGAGAGGTTCCTAGCACGGATTGGCAAGGCACCTGTGGGGCAGGAAGGCAAGGCGCAATCAGCTGATTGCGCATTGGTGTGACGAGCAGGGCTGTGACTTGCGAGGCTGCGGCGGGGTGCTCGGGCGCGGTGGCGCGGGCGAGGCTCTAGGCCTGCTCCAAATTCTGCAAAACAACACAGAGACCGGCCGAAGATGAGAAAATTGCGATCCAATCAGAGCTCGCGCGATCAGCACTCTTGTGAACTCGAGCAATCAAAAAGAAGGAAAGATTTGTCAGGGGATGGCCCGATTCTTAAATTCGAGCTATCAAGAAGAAGAAAACGCGCGCGAAAACGCGGACAACGGCTGCGGGCCCTGAACACGCGGGGGGGGGCGCGCCCCTCCCCCCACCTGGCGGCGCCGCCGCGCGTGCGCGCCGCCAGTGCCGTGCAATGTTGAACGAGTTATTCAGCTCGCACTGCGGCACTGTGCATCACAATGCTCGCATCATCCCGCCATTGCACATAGCTGATCGCCCGGGCGCTCTGACCGTGTGACAGTCCGACGGCCTGCGAGTGGGACGGCCTGCGAGTGGGCGATGCCCCACTCGCGACCCCTCGTGCGGGCGCCTGACGTGACTGCCGACGGCTCGTGACGCCTCCTTGACACCGCTTTGTCCCGCGCACCGACGAGCAGCTGCTGAGCACCGTACGCAGTGGTGACCTTTGTTCTCTTGTGCGTCAACCTGGTGCGCCTCCATCGCCCGCGGCTCGTGGCGCTGCACCCGCCTGAACCAGCCCTGCCGCGCTCACCTGCCGCTGAACTCATCACGAATCTGAGACAGAAAGCGGATAGCGCGCTCACCGCCTGCGCGCGTTCACCACCGTGGGGAGTAACTGCGCGATCACGCCGTCACAGGTGGGGCTCTCGAAGGTTTGGTGGCTCGAGGGCGTGGCTCGATGAAGTGTGGCTCGCCTCCCTCCCCTGCGCCTTTCGATTGTGTTGCCCACTTGCCTCGTGCATCTCCACACCTCTCCACTGCGCGCAGGCCTGCACTCCGGACTGGAGCTCTCTATGCACTCCGGAGCTCTCTATGCACTCCGGCGGGCCGTGGCCTTGTCAGGTCTTGGCGACGGCTCGACGGAGTGTGTGCGATCGCAGGCGACGCGGGCGGGTGGGAGGGCGGTGGGGCTGGAGGGTCATCATGTCGGGATCGGTTTTGGTTGGCATTCAAATGCCATGTTTGTTCTCCGGTGCTCCCAACGAGCTGGGCGGCGAGGGCGGCCGGCGGCGGGTTTGGAAAGGGTGGATGGACCGGGGCGAGGCGGTGAAGGAGGCGGTGGGGCGGGTGGCGGGGGCGATGGTGGGGTGGAAGGGGTGGGAGGTGCTGGCGAGGGAGGAAACGTGTGTGTAGGTCTCAATGTCCCACCCCCCTGCGCGCGGGCCTTCTAGGCCCGCGGGTAGTCTCCCCAGGGCCTCCAGGGCTCGCACCTCAACCTCTCACAGACGCCAGCGCATAAAAGAAAGAAAGAAAACGGACAACCCAAGGGAGGGGTGGGAGGACGGCACGCCGCCACTACACAGGGATTTTAAGGACCAGCGCATAGCGCCATAGCGCATCCGACATTTAGTAGGAAGCTCTCGGCAGGCTGAAGAGGACATCTGCACTTATTGCGTGGCGGGGCGGGCGGGATCCACTTTGTATTCGCCACACGCCTCCCTACCGTTAAGGTTGCTCCCGGCCCAGTGGGGATTTTGGCCTACTCAGTGATCGTCTAAGGGGCGCTAACTGGCTGCAATGCCATATCTTTTGTGCCTAGCTTGTAGAGCACCTTAAAAAAGTACTTTGTCTTGCAGTGAAAAGTTTTTCGATGAGGTGGGGGTCCGTGGTCAGCCGATTCCCAGATTCTCCAGATTCCCCCTCGAAAACCGCCCCTTTTAATTCATTGCGGCCGCGGAAGTGCTCGGATTACTTTTCACTGCAAGACAAAGTAGTTTTTTGGCGTTCCGGTGCCTACAAAAAATATCCGAGATCATATGGAGCTGACTACAGGGTTTGCGGCGATCACTGTCCTACCAGCGGACACAGTGGGCGGCGGACACCAGTGAATGACCTAGTAAGACTCGATGAGGTAGTCAGGGCTGTCGACGGCAGGCCGCACCTGCGCACGTATGGCGTGTGGATGAACCCGTGGAGACGAGGCGTCATGAGGGAAGGCAAGCCGCCGACGTGCAGGGGCGCAGGCGGGGCGCACAGGGGGATGCGACGGCACCTTGGCCCTCTCCTATCACAGCTTGCACCCTGCGCGCCTGATGGAGGGCGCGAGGGGCGGTCAGACGTGTATGGGATGTTGGAGGGAGAGACTGTGGAGAATGTGCGGTGCCGCGCAATGGGATTCGGCATTACTCGTACTCACCAACGGGGCACGGGCGGGAGTGCGCGCGGGGGGGGGGGGGGGGCGGGGATGCAGCGCACACCGCGCGGAGAACACCCGTTGGCGGGGCAAAGAAGAAAAACTCGCTGCCGGCAGCATATAAACCCATCTGAGCCAGAGCATTAGTACTCGTATTACGCATCTCCCCTCCCGTGTGTGGGCAGTAGCTGCCGGCCGTGAACCCCTTCCCGGACCAGAACGAACGTGCGAGGCGTGCCGGCGTACGTAAACAGCTTTGTTAATGGCAGATGGGTGTGGCACCTGTGCGGGTGTGCCGCCGTCTCGATGTGTCCGCTCCCTGGGAGTGATGACGCTACGTGGAGTTCGGCAGCCGCCCGCGCGGTGAACCAACTCGCTCGCGGCTCCATGCCTCCGGCGGGGCCGCTCGCCGCGGGGCTAGAGAGTGACTTTTGTCGATGACGATGTCGGCTAGAAGTGCTGCACGTTTTTCAGAATTTCACCCTCTCTCTCTCTCTCTCTCTCTCTCTCTCTCTCTCTCTCTCTCTCTCTCTCTCTCTCTCTCACGCCGGCCTCACTTGACTCTGCAGACTGCTCTCTCTCCTCTCTCTACTCTCGAGCTGCTCTCTCTCTCTCTTCTCTCCCCCCCTCCCTCCCTCCCTCCCTCCCTCCAATCGTTCTACGGCCGCGCTTCAGGGACGGACGATATCGTCCGTCCCTGAGGCAAAGTTGCTTTCAACCCCAAGGAAGCAGAACTCCGGTTCCGTCGACGATAAAGAAGAGAAAAGAAGTTCGACCCGGGACCGTCCGCGAAACGTCCCTCGGTCGCACTTCGGCGACAGTCTCGCTTCGGCCTCTCGCCGCTGGTACTGAATATGCGCAACATCCATCCGTCCACAACCAATTGGTAGAGCACACCTCGTCTCTGCGCCACAATGGCTGCGTGACGGGCAGCTCCCAGTGTGGGGCAGCTTGTGGATTCATCACAGCGTTGAGATCAGGATGGAGCGAGTTGGACCACTCAGAAGCTGACCTGAGCAGTGCCCCTGTCAACACGGTCAGGGCAGGAAGGGCGGACATGGACCCGCTGCGAACTCCCTTGTCTGGGCAGTAGCTGCCGGCCGTGAATCCCTTCCCGGACCAAGAATAAACGTGCATGTGCGATGCGTGCCGGCGTACGTGGAGCGACCGTTTACTGGCAGATGGATGTGGCAGTGCGGGTGTGCCGCCGTCTCGGTGTGTCCACTCCCTAGGAGTGTTGACGCTACCTGAGTTCGGCAGCCGCCCGCGGTGATCATGTGGACCTGGTGCATGCGAACTCGCTCGCGGCTCAGCTGCGGCTCGGCTCCGGCTGTCGGCGTCTCGCGTCTCGCTCCTCTGTGCGGCCACATGTCGAGTGACATTACTCGGCTCTGTCCTCTTTGGTCTGTCCACAGCTCCCTACCAATGCCTGCCCTGCTGCTCTCTGCTGAGACTCCCCCCCCCCCCCCCAACGACCACCACTGCACAGGTGAATGCCGCTCACTGCCGAGATGACGCACCAGTCATTCCGTTTGACCTCTCTACAGAGCACCACACAAGCCCACAGAAAACCTAATTTTTGAACGTGGAGGCCTATAAGTGCCCACCCGTTTTTGTACTCGTGCGTGTGTGGTGCGGACTGTGGGGCTCAGGGGGGGCAGCCTCCCTCCCTCCCTCTTTCCCTTTCCTGCCTGCCTGCCTGTCTCTGGTCTGTCGGAGTCTGACTGTCTGTGTGAGAGGGTGCGGCCCGCTAGATCCACCCGGTCGTCTGCCGCGCGGCTCGCCGTCACTGCCAAGTCCTCTCGCTCACGTGAGCGGACGAGTTGGGTTGGGCACAGGTACAGGTGCGTGTGAGGCACACTCTCACGGCGTCTCACACTAGAGGCCACTCAGCAACTCGTACGGCCTACGAAGCTGCCCCTCTCGAGGGAAGCCCAGACAATGCGCCTTCTTTTTTCTCTCTTTATAAGTGTGAGTGCGCAGTCGGGAATTGTGTAGCAGCGGCCCCAACTCCTCAGGGAGCTTAGATTTGTAAGAAGCCAAAACGACTCCCGTTGTCGCGCAGCGAACACTTTTGTTTGCGTGTTACTATATTCTGGTGGCGAGGGAGCTCTGGGGGGAGGCGGGGCCACTAGGGGGTACCCATGCGGGGGGGAGATGGGGTCCCCCAGCCCGCCGCAGGCGCCGATTTTTTTTGGGGGGGGGGGGGTCTTTGTTTGCGCGATTTTTCACTTGTTTTCATGGGAATTCGCCGTACTTGCGGCCATGCTATCACGCCCTTGCGACAGCCTGTCGGCGCTGCTGACCGTGCCCCGCTCCCATTCCCCTGTGTCCCCGAGGTCGTCCTCCCAAGATCCTGCTCGTGCAGGTGGGGACCCTGTCCTTCTCCCACCGCTCGCTTGGCGTGTCCGTTTTTTAGAGAGAGAGAGATTTTTAGCAATACCAAACAACTCTAACACTCACACGGACAGTGTTTGTCCGTTTTTTAGGTTCCGAAAAAAGAGAATCCGGTTCCGTTGGCCTCTTTGTAGGGAAGAATGGATATCCGTCAAAACACCTGCTGGGGGCCTTCATCTGAAGCCGTCTGCTCCCCACTTCAGCAGGCGCTGGCGCCATCGAAGTTCCTCCTACCTCCTACCGCTCCATTTTTTTACATTTTAGGAAGAGGCTTCTGGCCCCTTGCTATTGGTATTGCGCACGTGTAGGTCACCGTGTACGACAACAAATTCAAAAACGGGTCAGAGTTGTGTGCGAAGACGTACTCGCTCTCGCTCGCTCGGACAGCATACCAACAGCTAAATGTAGACGCCCCGGACTCGCCCGCCCGCCCCATGCAGGCGCGCCGCCGGCCGCTCCTCTCCCTCCCCCTCCTCGCCCTCCTCTCCCGACGCGACTTGCAGCCCGCGACCCCGGCCGCCGGCCGCCGCCTCGGCCTGCAGAAGCTCCAGCTGATGCCGCTCCCCGTCGAGCACCCACTGCCCGACCTTTGCGATGACGGCCGCGAAGAGCGGAGCCGTCACCATGATGGAGAGCACGGCGCACGTGAGGAGCGCCTCCGCCCTCTCCATCTCCGCGCCGTACTCGGGTAGGCCCGCCAAGTGTTCCGCGACGTAGTCGAGAGCGACGCTGCTCAGCGCCGCCTGTCCACAGAGGTTGCGGAGCTGTGTGAAGAGGCAACCGATCTTTGACGGCGCCTTGCGGCTCTCTCGCCTGGACGGTGGCCTTGGGGCACCACGTCACCACCCCGAAGAGCTGCTCGGCGGCGCTCCAGCCGTGAGAGCGGACGCACAGCCAGCAGGCGACCGCCCGGCCGGCGAGGCCGCAGACGATGACGACGAAGGACCCGGCGACGAGGGGCGCACTCAGCAGAGACGCGTCCATGCTCGCGCCGAGGAGGCCAAAGATTACGGGAGCTCCGAAGGAGGCCCAGCCGGCTCGCAGCACGCAATCCGCCTCGGCGACGCTGCCCGCCTCCGCCGGCATCCGGGAGAGCACGCCCTCGCGCAGCGTCAGCCCCATCACCATCACCTGTCACCGGGTGGCGACTCAGATGAGAGCCTGCGACAATGAGGCGAGAGCCATTTGGCTGTCACCGCGAGGCAGCCGCCGCCCGCCATGTCCACCCGCTGGCTCGCGAGGAGGAGGACCGTCGCCCCGCCAACCAAGAGGCCGTGCCGGTCCGCCCCGTCCCTCGCGGTGCGCCACACCGAGAGGCAAGCCGCCGCGCCCAGCCAGCCGGCCCCCGCGCCGCAGAGCAGCTCGAGCCCGCCCAAGCCGACCGTCTGCCACGCCGGCCTGCCCCCGCCTGAGAAGACGCCTCCGAAGACGACTCCGTAGCCGACGATCGCGAGGACCTAGCCAGAACGCACGAGCTCAGCTGAGCTAGCACACGGGGAAGGAAAGACGACGCCCGAACGGCGGGACCGAGTTGAGGTTTGCCGCGGCGAGCAAGAGGCTCGGTATGCCGCGCTCGGCGCCCAGCCCGCGCGCCTGCAGGTCAAGCATGTTGTCAAGCAGGGTTGGGGTTGGATGGGGCCAAGGTTTGCATATTGGGTTGGGATAGGGCTGGGGTGAGGGGCTAGGGCCAGCCGAGCCCGCGTCTGCAGGTCAACCAATGGGTCGCCACCCGCGCCTGCAGGTCGAGCAAGAGCGGCGTCGTCACTGCTGGGCTCACGTCGGCGAGCAGGAAGCCGAGCAGGAGCGACCAGCCGCTCGACAGGAACGGGAGGGCCCACCGCGAGGCGACGGCGACCGTGCAAGCCTCCGCAAAGCAGGGGACGGCCGCGAGGGTGGCGACGAAGCGCGGGTTGGAGCGGAGCACTCCGAAGTCGAGGCCGAGACCCGCGCGCAGCATAATGGTGGACAGCGCCGCCGCCTTTGCGACGCCCGCGACGAGGCGGAAGAGCTCGTCCGAGGTGTCGAGCGCCCCGTCGATGTTGACCAGCGCGCAGCAGGCCAACAGTGATCCGCAGAGGCCCGGGACGCCGCGGCCCGCCGCCTCCACCGCCGCCGCACCGACTCGAGAACTCGTCAGGACAGCCAGAAGCGAGAAGAGCGGGCCACCCGGCAGCCCGACAGGGTCGGCCGAGCAACCGTGGGAGAGGCTGCAGCCGGCCAACCCGACAGAGAGGACGATGAGCGCGCTGGCGAGCAGAAGGTGCAGCACGCCAAAGGTCGCGTCCGCTCGCTGGCGCGCACTGAGGGCGCGTGACCGCGCGAGCGACACGAGCTCACGCGACCGCTGCTGCAACAACAGCGACATCGAGCCTCGAAGACGAGGCGGCGAGGGCTCGTTGTCCTCATCCGATGCGGACTCCACGTCCATATCGAATGATCCCGCCACCGGCGTCGCTACCGCCGCTATTGCTGCTGCCACGGTGTTGGTCTCCGTTCGCTGCGCCCGCCGCTCAGTGGCGCTGGAAGGTGCAGCCGAACGGCCGCCGCCATGATCGCCACTTCGCTGCGCCCGCTGCTCAGTGGCGCTGGAAGGTGCAGCCGAACGGCCGCCGCCATGATCGCCACGCCGCGCCATGATCGCCACGCCGGTGTGGCGGCCGCGGCCACGGCCGCTGCCGCGTCGTGCAGCTTCCCGTTCCGCCCTGCTCGCCGTGGCACCGCGCGCGCCACGCAGCTCCGCCATCGCCTCGTTGAGCTGCTGCTCCTCCACTGCCTCCATGGGCTTCGCGGTGAACACAGGTTTATTAGAGACGCCCTGGCTCTCTCACAAAACGCACAACCCCGAGGGTACCCCTAGCTAAAAAGGGTGGGCCCTGGGGCGCTTGCGGCTTAAACGGCTTAAAACCTGCCCGGGCAGGTTTTAAGAGCTGCTGGGCCGCTGATTCCTTAAACGGTCTTAAACGCTTAAACGGTGCGGGAGAGCTCCCGAGGTCGATGGTCCGGCAGTGGTCCGGGTCTCCGGGAGGCTCCCGGTAGACGCCGGAGGCCGGGGAGCTGGCTACAGTCAGCTAGCACGCGCCCCCTATGCGAGTATGGCTCCTGCCAGTGCACCAGACTTACAGATGTGTCTTCAGAGGCGGGTTTGTGCCTAATAACGGCAGTATTGGAGAAACCGGCGCGGAACCCAGCGACGCGTGCCGGTGAGGCCGATTTTCTTAAACGGACTTAAAAGAGGGACCCCCCGTGCCTGCAATCTCTTAAATGGTAATTTCAGCCCCCAAATCTCCTCATTTCTTAAAAGGTCTTTAAAAAGTCCGGCCCTCAGAACCCTAGGGGTACCCTAAGCACAACCCCCTTCCTCGAAATACGCAAAGTGACAGTCAGTCGGACATGCAACACGGGGTCCCAGGGAAGGCAAGCAAAACCCTTATCGCGCGCGCTGCTCACCAGCTGCTGCTCACCCGCCGGTGTTCTCGAGGTTCTCGAGGTTGGATATCCTTTGGCCGCGTTTGGTGTCTTGTTTCACTGTGATCTGTGATCTGTAAGGGTCCGCCCGCAGGCGCATTTTGTATACCGAGGCGGTGCCCGGTGCCGAGCGCAGGCAGGGCCCACAGGTCGGACCTTAAGACAGCATTGTAGATCCCTGGGCGAGGGTGGTGGAGGGGGGGGTCCGGCGGCGGAGCAACCACCTCCTGCTCCTCACGGCGTGCCGGGGGAGGCAGGATGTCATCCCCCGTGATCCCGACCGCCCCGTCGGAGGTAGACCGCTCGTCTAGCCAATCCGCCTTAAGCGAGCGGTCTGGCCGTTGGAATGGCCGAGTTTGGTGGACTTGCGTCCTTGCATCGATCGTGATTACAAGCATTGTTACAATTCAATCACGAACTCTGACCGTCAGCTGGCCACTCCGGGGCGAGGGACCTCCTTAGAGCTTAGTATTTAAACAACACAACTCTCTCTCACAGCAGACAGGCTCGACACAGGTGCGAACTGGCGCGTGCTAGAGCTTAGTAAGCCGGCACGCTGTGCGTGCGCGGCCGTTCAGAAACTTTCCCCCGCCCCACACCTCTTTATCTCTCAGCGCGATGCCTCTCGTCGTATTCCCTCTGGGCTCTGGATGTCCGAGGCGATTGCTGCTCCCGCTTGCGTTGTCGCAACTTTTGTTTCGGCGTCATCGGCTCCTCGCCCTCGTGATGCTGCTGGCTCGCCCTGTTTCACTTGTTTTTGAGGTGTCGCGCCGCACATACCCATACGTGAGCTGTGATGAGGGTCCGCCCACCACGCATCTACAACAGCAACGGCCAGCGCCCGAATTACACTACGCGCGGGGTGCGCGCGTTGTGCGGGGTGTGCGCGCGTTGTGTGGCAGTGTGGGGCGGGTGTGCGGAGAGCTCTGTCTGGGGCCTAGAGCGGGGCGCTGGGCTCGCGTGCGGCCCCGCGGCAAACAAGTCACACCGCAGAAAGATAGTGCGGTGCTGAGATACTACACGTGGCGTACACAGCCTTCCCTAGAGAACATACACATCAGCACAGGCCCCATCATGGCCCCTAATCTGTACCCTTCCCAATGTGCAGGGGAACTGGGGAACTCTCATTGCATCACAGAGCAGAGAAGAAAGGTACACGCGAATAGTACACCCCTGGCCAGAGCGTAGTCTACCAGGGCGCCAGCAGGTCCCAAAGCGCAAGCAGTCCTCACCCGGCACCTCCGCCCTCACGCGGCCCCCTCGAAGGCCCACTCCGCCCAGGTCCGCAGCCTGCCGCTCCGCTGCAGCTCCTGCCACAGCTGGACGTTGTCGCCGAGCACGTCCGCCACGCGCCCCTCGCAGAGGCGCCAGCTCCCTCGCGCGAGCTCCGCCTGCAGCTGCCCTCGCCCCCACCGGCAGTGTCCCACGAAGAGCAGCGCCACCGGCGGCACCGCGCCGGCGCGGGCAGCCGCGTGCTCGATGGTCGCCACCGCGCTGAGCGAGTTGATGAGTCGCGCCGCGTGGTTTGTGCCCAAGGCCGCGGGGGAGCGGAACCCGTAGCTAGACTCCGCCACCACGCTGACGGAGGGGAGCCGGCTCGCACCGTCATGCTGCGGCGCCGCCGCCTCCTCCTGCTCCCCCGCCGCCTCCACCGGCTCCGCCTCCGCCTCTGTCCCCGCCTCCACCTCCGTCCCCGCCTCCACCGCCGCCTCGGTCCCTGCCTCCTCAACCTCCGTCTCGGCCGCGCCGTCGGCACCCCTCCAGCGAGCCACCACGGATTCGCCCGTCCCCGCCGCCACCTCCTCCGCGCCCAGCACTTCGATCGAGCCGAACCGCGAGCCGAGAGTGTGCATCAGCGTGTAGCGCACGACGCCGAGCCGGCCCCCGCACACGGGCCCGCCGCGCCGCCACTCGATCATCAGAGGGCTGGCTGGCGAGCCCGGCCCCGACCCTCCGCTCTGGCGGAGGCGCGACACCTCGTAGGCGACCGCAAGGCTTGTGGACTGCATCACCTCGCTCGGACAGTTGACCACTATGCCGTGTGCGCCGTCGGGGGTGATCTCGCAGAGGAGGATGACGGCTTGGGAGAATGTGCCGTGCAGTGACGGCTCCGCCACCAGCAGCATCCCCGCGCGCACTTGCCGAGGCTTTGGCGGCGCAAGCGCGAAGGTCGTCATGCAGACGTTGCATGCGGATGCGGTGAAGGGTGACGTCTTCTGCCACTTCCGCAGGCAGTCCTCGTGCACCCACCGAAGCGTGCCGCTGCAGGAGCAAGGAGCTACGAGCGGCGAGTCCGTGCCGCCTTCGAAACAGAAGCGGCACGCCGCCCCCTCCTCAATCTCGAGCGCGGTAGCCACGCCGAGCGCTGGCGCGGGCGACGTCCCTGGCTTGGTCCTCGCCGAGCCGGTCTCGGAAGAACCGTCGCGGGCCCCGCCCAAGCTCTCGTACAGGATGCGGACGAGGCCGTAGAGGCCTCTCGGCATCGATGCAGGCGGCAGGTAGTCTCCGCAATGTTGGGGACAGTTGCGGAAAGCAGGGGGGAGTGTCGTTTTGAGCTCGATGGACGGCGGGGTGCCGCAAGCATAGTTTTCTTTTCCTCCGGGCGCTAATCCTCCTATCTTCAATCCACAGACCCCTCCTCTCCCCCCTCACTGCTGAAATGGGCCATCGAGCTAGCCTTCGAGCTAGGCTTCCGGCCGCTTCCTGGGCGAGTCGTCGGGTGACAGGCGCAGCGCGAGCGCCCTCGCTGCAAACGGATTCTCGGGGAGGGCGAAACCGGAGAGGGGGACCGGGCTGACGGCTGAGAGCCGGTCGGCGATGCGCTGTAGCACCTTCCCCGCCTCGGCGCCGAGGCCTGGCCCCGCCGACGCCGAGGCGTCGTCGTGGAAGCGCAAAAACTGCCTGTCGCTACGCCGAGGAGAGGCGCCCTTCGCCTTGCCCCCCGCCCGGAAGCATCGGGCCATGCAGACGATTAAGATTGCGCACCAGAGCGCACCGCCGGCCAGGGTGAGGAGGGCCGTAGAGGCGGCGACCAGCGGCACGCGAGGCGAGTCGGTCGCGGTGTGCCCCAGACCATCTTCCAGCGCGCCGCGCAGCGCGTCGTCGGCCCTCTGCGCGAGACTGGACCCGGGTGCGGGCAGCAACACACGAGGACTTGCTGGTGGCGTTAGGGGCGGAGCGGAGGGCGGCGGCGGCGAAGCGGAGGGCGGCGGCGGCGACGCGGATGGCGGCGGGGGGGCAGGCGACGCAGACGGCGGCGGCGGCGGCGAGGGCGGGGCGGACGGCGGCGGCGGCGACGTCGGGGAGGAGGGCGGAGGCAGCGAGGGCGAGGCGGACGGCGGCGGAGGCGACGGGGCAGAGGGAGGCGGCGGGCTTGGCGGCGTCGGTGGCGGAGGAGGCGGTGGGCGGGGCGAGGGCTGCTCGGGGGGCGATGCGGATGGCGGAGGAGGCGCCAGCGGCGGTGGTTGAGGCGGCGGCGGGCTTGGCGGTTGTGCGGCCGCCCATATCCAGCGGCCCGCCGCTCGCTGGTTTCCCCACGTGGCGAAGGCGCTCATGACTTCCGACGAGGCGTATCTGTCTTTTTCTTACCCCGCTTAGACGCCGTCCCATTCGTACCCAACCGACGGCGTGAGATAGGGTGCTGACCTTTCTCGCCGAGGCTCGCCGTGGCCCCACACGGCGGCCTCTGCTCGCGTTTTCGAGCCAGGACCTTCGCGGCCCGGCGGGTGGGAGAATCTGTGTCGTCTGATGTGTCACTGTGTACGTCACATCGATTTGGATAACAAGCACGGTCGATCCGTCACAGAGTTTACACTCGTTCCTATCTCGCTGGAGGGCTGGCACGGAGCTCTGTGCCGGCAAACAGGAAGAGCCGTCCGGAGGAAGAGCCGTCCGGCAAAAAGAGCTCGATGGGGAGCGAGAGCCGTCAAAGGTGCTCACGCAGGTTTCGGACGTCCGTCCTGGTGCGGTCAGTTCCCCCCACGCAGGTTTGAACGCGCAGGTCTCAAAACTCGTCGAGCACTCGTAGCCTTTCTGCGCCTCTCTGCATGCTGCCGGCTCGGGAAGAGCAGATTTTGCAAGATCTCTCAACGAGATCCGACGTCTGCGCGGTCATTGTTGGGGCGATCTTACCGTGTTATGACGGAGTCCTGATACCTTCTAAGAGTAAGACCACCTCTAACGGTTCTCGCTCCCTATCGAGCTCTTCTTGCCGGACGGCTCTTCCTGTTTTGCGGGGTGATGAGCTTCGTGTCAAGCCTCCGAGGGCAACGGAAACGAGTGCATCGCTTCGATAGACCGACTGTGTGCTTGTTACCAACCAAGACCGATCTCACGTACACAGTTACACTCCAGACGTTCTGTGCTCTCCCATCCGACAACCGGCAAGACGCTGTCGTTAGCCAGCCGCTCTTGCGGCAGCCGGCAGCGGAGACTGAGCGCGTCGGGCGAGTGGAAATCGAGACGGCGTGCCGGCCGTGGGCCCGCGGACGAACGAAGGTCCTGCCGGGTCACTTCGAGCCGAGCGCGCACGGGGCGTGGCTCAGAGCCTTGCCCGAAAGCGCCACTTTCGGGCGCCAGTCCCCAGCGCGCTCGAATCTATCTCGAGTCTCGTTGGGTAGCGGAAGTGTGCCGCCCCAAGCTGCAAAGGATTTTTTTCGAAAAGAGGCTGCGCCGACGGGAAGGCGCGCGTCCCCTAGGAACCTACTGAGCTGGCTAGGATGATGCCTAGGAGCCGGCAACCGCTGTCGTTAACCCTTCGCCGACAACACCGCATGCAGCGCCTCGCCGAGCTTTCGACACGAGTCCCGTGGCAGCTCAGCGGCGTCGCGGGCTGGCTCGGCCTCGCCGGCGCCGCCACAGTCGCCGAGACTTGCAGCCGGGACGGCCCTGCCACGGCTGCTGAGCCCGAGAACCCTGGCGCCGCGCTGACGCGACTCGGGCCGTCCGAGGTGCTCACGCTCCGAAGCCGAGGCTGGCTTGTGCTTGACGACGCGCTGGACGCAACCACGCTCGCCCATGCCCGGCTCGATGTGAAGCGGCTCCTCCTCTCTGGCGACTTTGAGCCGTCAGAGCAGCACGGCGATGTGCGGTCGGACCACCTCTGCTGGGTGAGCGAGTCTGGCGGACACGCGCCGCCGCTCGGCCTCCGCACCGCGCTGCGCGGCCTGCGTGGCATCGCGCTGCAGCTGCAGAACGGCGGCCCGCCCGAGGAGGGCGGGCCGCCCGACGGGAGATGGACTGGCTTTGGAGACGAGCCGCGCGTCGTCGAAATGGGAGCGACGCCACCGCTGCCGTGCTCGCCGACGAGCGCCG